TATGTATGTATGTATGTATGTATGTATGTATCTATGTATGTATGTATGTATGTATGTATGTGTGTGTAGATCTATGCGTGTGCCCATACGTGCACGAGTGAGTATCCCTTCATTCCCCCTGTTTCCATCCCCTGTAACAATCCTGTTACAATCCGCTAGTCGATATCCCTAATGCTTTGTATCCAGCAAACAATACTTGTCATCATGCAGCTATACACGTCCCTGATCAAAGCATTCCTTCCCACACTCAAAGAATGAGATCAACGACCCATTAGGCGACTGGCTGCTCATGAATAATCAATTACGCCATTGTGTGACTTCAGACTTCAACCATCTCAATAAACAAAGCTATGTTAGGTATAGACAGTTCTGGGTAAGCTCCAGCTTACCTGCTCAAATTCTAGAAGGCACAGCAAAGTGCCAATGGGTGTATTTTTGTTTGTTTGTTTGTTTGGTTTTGTTTGGGGTTTTTTCTATCTCTTTTCATTGACATTTAAACTTTTTGTCTTCCTCAAGAAAGGACAATTTAATTTCTTTGATTTGTAAGCATGTGTTAGACTGGTTCAATCTCGATTGTGTGCAAAATCCACATTGTGAGAATAAAAGGGGTTATTTTGTTTTTGCCACAGACCCCCCCCCCTTTTCCCCTCATTCCTTTTTCCCATCCCCTGCCTACCTCACACTCAACAGATTAACCGGATTTTGGAGGTAAAGCAATAAATGTTCCTGGAAAAGCGAAAATTGTTTTTCATGGGATTGCGGTAAGGAAGGGTGTATGTGTGGTGTGAGAGAGGGGGGGGGGTAAAAGAATGAGAAATACGTTTCTACTTCGTTCTTTTTTTTAATTCTATTTATGTTCATCATTTATCTTTTCTTTTTTCGTTCTCTAATAATTAAAAAAAGGTGAAGGCAGAAACGTTCGTTAAGTTTGTTAAGGCTCACTTTGAAAGATGTTGAACCATACAGATTAGGTCCATTCCTCCAAAAGTACCAAGCACTTAAATGAAACAAACATGAAAGTCAAAAGCGGTATGGAATATCTCTCTGTGATAATTTGACGGAGTGAAGATAGCAAAACTACTTTTTTTCCTATCCCAGGTTGTACACTTGGTAGATGTCGCCGGAAATGTTTAAGTCTTTGTTATCGTTTAAGCGTGCTGCTGATTTCGAGACAGACATTGCGTGTTTATTTTATTCCCTTTATCTTTTTGTGAACGAAAGTGCAGTGAGCGAATTCGAAAAACAATTATTGGTTGTGTTCAAATTGGGAATCAGAGCATTTTAGAGAGAGATTCAGATTTTTTTTTTTAAACATCCCTTTCCCCTTAATGAAAAAAACAATTATCTCTCCCAACCTCAAAACATAAATTTTACTCGGACTCTGGGCACGATATAAGAGAAAAGTACAAACAAATTTTGAGAATAAGTAATTTTTTAAAAAAGAAATAAGAAAGGAAACGAAAACATAGCACGGATGCAGCATTTACCTTACCTTATCCACACTCTCCGAAATACAAACTAGAATAACAAGAAATGTTGTTGCTCTAACACTAATGGCCACAATGTCGCTCACCGCACGTGACCCGTTGTACTCAGTTACAGTGTTGCTATGGGCCGATTGATCAGCCAGAGAGCCGCTAAAGCCGCTAATGGAATAGAAAGATTATTTCTTGAGTGGTCGCGCAGAAACCGACGGAGGAAAATCACACCGGTCCATAACTTGGGCAAACTTATTGATTCATACATCGATCTCATTTGACCGAAGGTTGAAGTTTGAGTCATGGTAAAGGGGATGCTGTTGGTTGTTTTACTTTTAAGAAAGATTGCCTAACGGGTAAAGGTGAATTTTACCCCCCCGCCAGGGGGCAACCCCACCTCTCTTTTTCACCGGGACACAAAATATATCGATTTGCTTTTCTATCGTTCGACCGCTTTTTCTTGCTTTTTATTATGGAAAGAGTATTCGGGTTGTTTGGGGGGGGGGGGGCGTTTGGGGAATGGGGGAGGGCGGGGTGAGTGATGAAGAGATAATGGTACAGGCGACTAGCTACTTTTCCTCAAATCTGATAATCTTCATTTGTTCTCTTATTGACACCACCTAAGCTGAGATCATCATCATTGCCTTTCTCACGCTGGATCAGTATATAGATCTAGGCCACGAACAAACACTTTCCACCTTTCCCTATCCTGGGCTAGTCGCTTGATGTCACTCCATATCTTCCGACGTCTTTTCTGTACGTCCATTTCCGTGACCCTTCTCCATGTTCCATGTGGTCTTCCTCTTGATCTTTTACCCTGTGGGTTCCAATCTATGAGCTGAGATACTCGATTAAAAAAAACTAACCTCCCCACAGGGAAATCGAGCTCACGTCTTCTGCATGCGACAGAAAAACGTCTAACCACTATTCCATGTACACCGGTATATTTTTTCGATAACTTGTTCATTTTCTACTTACCACTAGTAGGTCTTTAATTTTTTAATTTTTTTTAAAACCCAAATCACTCTATTCAATCTTCTCAGGTCTTTGCATGTGGGTCTAAAGGTCGGATAACAAACAGAATCTAAAAGTCCTTTAATGATGGCCATTGCAACCTAGGGTTCCGACACATTCTCTTTAATAAGCGAAGTGTGGGTCACAAAAATAATAGGGGATTTACAACATACGCCTGAAACAACAAAAGGTTGACCTGTTTCATCAACTCCTCACTTGGACGCACGCTTGTGAAACACGGCCCAACAGAAGCGTGAGTACTTTTTTAGATTAACGTGGAGATGCCAAGATAGTCTAGGGAGGAATCCTAAAAGTTTACCCTGAAATGCCGGGACAGGGCGGTGCCACTGTCTCAAAATGAGCAAGGGATTGCATACACAATTCATTGCAGTGAACCTGTCTACGCTTCTAAAGGGTGGTGTTTAATATAGGGCCCAAATGAAAAAAAAAGTCTTTTATTGGGTAAATATTTATTTTCTTTTAAAACATTTGTTTGGTCGCTGGCCTACATGTGTACCATGCAAAGTTTCAAGCAATAAATGAGCTAGATTTTATTATTTTTATTTTTCAACCTGGACAGACGAAAGCTATAGATCTAACCTCACAATCTACAAGACTAGACTCTTGAATTAGTAGTGCATGACATGCGTATTCTAATTTTCTAGCCTAATTGGGCATGCTGAAAGAAGTGTTCTGGCATAATATGAAAGTTTTAAAATCTACAAATACTGTTGTCAAAACGATACATTTATCACAGATTGTGCCGTTCTATATTGCAGGCAGAATTCAAAAGACCTCCGATGATCCTATGGAAGGAAAAAAACGGTTTGTCTCAATGGCACACTATTAATTCCTAAATATGTTGCTGTTGTTGTTAAAAGTTGTTAGTGTTTTCATTGGAAGTGTCAAGTGATAGTGATGCTCTCGTAATGATGGTTGTGTGGTAGCATTTGTGTTGGATGGAAACCACTGTGCTGTTAATGTTATTGGCCGCAGTGTGTTGAGGAAGGCCACACACCAGCGTACGTACATTATACATGAGGTAGAATCGGATTCTCTCACAACTCCACAAGAGATCTTTGTTGCTGAAATTATATTGCTGCCGCCGTTTCAGACTGCTTGGAAATGACCGGGTCATATTTTTTTAACACAAATTATAAGGAAAAGGAGAAAAGACAGCAAAATAGGTTTTGAAGGACGCTTGAAGTCGCCATATTGGTGATGCATTGCTTACTTTGGAGCCTACAAGTACAGGCAATTCTCACCGCACAGTGTGAACAGCGCTGTAAATATGAGCGACGTTTCTAACCACTTCAACATCATAAAGTTCACGAGTCTTCACATTGAAAACTCTTTTTTAATTTCCAGCTCCCACTCCGACACAGA